CAGAATTTCAACCAGGCACAGGGAAGAGAAAAAAAAAAATGCCAAAACTAGGACCTGGTAGGGGAAGATTAAGAATAACAATAAAAAGGACAAAAGTATTAATAATATTAGTTGGTTTGAAACAGACAAATACAAGCAAACTAATCACCGGGAAAAAGAAAGCGAAAAAGAAAAAAAAAATCGGTGGAGGACTGGGTAGGGCACCCAGGCTCTGTCTGAGCACACAGACTGTGATGGACCTCCTGTGGGCCCAGAAGGTAGATGGGAGTGGGGATGGGCACACCTCCGTTCACCAAGCGGGTGTAGGGTGTAGTAACAAGAGGAATGTCGTACCTTTTCAGTCTTGCAGGCCCCGCGTGTCCTTGGGGTTGCTGGAAAGCAGAACGTGTTCTTAAGCCCCAGAAATCTGCAAGAGCACTGTCTCTTTGAATATCCAAAACAGTCAAGCAGCTTTTTAAACCTTCAAAATGGCAGTGTCCTCCAGACCAGCAAAGGTCCACAGCTCAGCCCACATTTCTCTTCACTCTCTCCGTTTGTTCCCCAGCCACCGTGCACAGTCCTGTGTGCAGTCCCTGGCTAGCTCTCTGCGAGAGCGCTGTCTCTTTAAATATCCAAAATAGTCAAGCCGCTTTTTAAACCTACAAAATGGTGGCGCCCTCCGGATCGTCAAAAGTTCACAGCTCAGCCCACCTTTCTCTTCACCTTCTCCGTTTGTTCCCCAGCCACCTGCACAGTCCTCCGTGCAGTCCCTGGCTAGCAGGGTGATTTTTAGGTTAATTCTTAGATCCTACCACCACTCGGGAATCTCCAAGCCGTCTGTCGCTGCCAGACCGCAGCTCCGTGTGTCTCCTTTTTTGGTATTTTCATGCAAATTCTTCTGCTAGTTGGCGTTTAGTCCACTTTTGTATCTTTCCCTTCAAGGCTTAGGGGTCTAAGATTATCTTCTTTGTCTGTTAATTGGTTTCCCTTTTCTTTGTTGAAGAGGGTCTGTCCAGTCCTTCTGCCTAATCCGCCATCTTGCTGGAACTTGGCCATTCTCATTTCTAAGGAGCATTCTATCTGTTCTTTGAAGACAGATTTGTTCCTTCTTCTGAAGGAAGATAGGGCATTCTACTTCCTTAGTGATAGCACCTCAGAAACCCAAGGAAGGGTAGCTATGAGTCAGATCCGACTCAATGGCAGTGAGTTCTGGCAGTCCATGGTATATTCAGTATTCTTCACCAGCACCAGAATTCAAATTTTCAATTCTTCTTCAGTCTTCGTTATTCATTGTCCAGCTTTTATATGCATATTCAAAACAAACAAACAAAAAAAATCAAACTCATTGCCGTCAAGTCAAATACAACTCATAGTGACCCCTCCTTGGGTTTCCAAGGCAGTATCACTATGGCAGTACAATGCCCAGTCTTCCTTCCAAGGAGTGGCTAGTGGGTTTGAGCCGCCAGCCTTCTGGTTAGCAGTCAAATGCCTTAGGCACTATGCCACCAGAGCTCCCCATATGCATATTGTTGTTGTTGTGTGCCGTCAAGTGGGACCCAACTCATAGTGACCCCTCCTTGGGTTGCTGAGGCAGTATCACTATGGAAGTAGATTGCCCAACCTTCCTTCCGACAAGCATGAATATTAGGCTATTGGAAATACCATAGCTTGGGTTAGGTGCACCTTAGTTTTCAAATTGACACCTTTGTTCTTTAACATTTTAAATAGACCTTTTGAAGCTTTGCCAAAGAAATACGACTTCTGATTTCTTGACTGCTGCTTCCATGGATGTCGATTGTGGATCCAAGTAAAATTAAATCCCTGACAACTTCAATTCTTTCTCCATTTATCATGATGTTGCTTACTGGTCCAGTTAAGAGAATTTTTGTTTTCTTTATGTTGAAGTGTCATCCATACTGAAGACTGCAGTCTTTGATCTTAATCAGTAAGTGCTTCAAGTCATCTTCACTTTCACCAAGCAAGGTTGTGTCATCTGCATATTGCAAGTTGTTAATGAGTCTTCCTCCAGTCCTGATGCCACGTTTTTCTTCCTATGGTCCAGATTTTTGGATTATTTGTTCAGCATGCAGAGTCAGCTATGAGTCACGTCCAACTTGATGGCAGTGAGTTTGGTTTTGGTTTGTGGTATTAATGATACTGTTTGATAATTTCCACGTTGCATTGGATCACCTTTCTTTGGAGTGGGCACAAATATGGATCTCTTCCCATCGGTTGACCAGGTTGCTTTCTTCCAAATTTCTTGGCATAAATGAGTATATTGAAAACTCTCAATGAGTGTTCTGTCAATTCCTGGAACCTTGTTTTTCACCAAGTCCTTCAATGCAGCTTGGACTTCTTCCTTCAATATAATTTGTTCTTGGTCATTTGCTACCTCCTGAAAAAGTAGAAAGGCACTCTGGTGATGCAGCAGTTAAGACATTTGGATGATAACCAGAAGGTGATGGTTCAAACCCACTAGCTGCTCTGCAGGAGGAAGATGAAGCAATCTACTTCCATAAAGATTTACAGCCTTGGAAACCCTACAGATCACTGTAAGTCAGAATTGAATTGATGGCAGTGGATTTTGCTTTGGAAATGGTTAAATGTCGGCCAGTCCTTTTTGGTACAGTGACTATGTATTCCCTCCGTTTTCTTTTGATGGTTCTTGCATAGTTTGATATTTTGCCCACAGAATCCTTTAATATTGCAACTTGAGGCTTGAATTTTTTCTTCAGTTATTTAAGTTTCAGAAGCAGCAAGCATGTTTTTCTCTTTTCGTTTTCTAATTCCAGATTTTTGCACATTTCATTATAATACTTTGTCTTCTTGAGCTGCCCTTTGCAATCTTCTGTTCACATCTTTTATTTCATCATTTCTCCCATTTACTTTAGCTACTCTCCATTGAAAAGCAATTTTCAGAATCTCTTCTGACATCCCTTTGGGCTTTACTTCCTTTCCTTGCCTAGGATATTGATCTTTATCTATTCCATTTCATTTTTGACAACTTCCAATTTTCCTAGATTCATACTTTGTACATTCCACAATCTGATACTTAATGAATGTTTGCAGCTGTCTCTTCTCATTTTGAGTCATGTTACATCAGTAAAGGTCCTGAAAGCTTTACTCCACCCACATCATTAAGGTCAACTCTACTTGGAGGAGGCAGCTCTTCCCTGGTTGTATTTTGAATACTTTTCAACGTGAGGGGCTCACCTTTTGCTTTCTTCACATATGACGGTCTTGATGTCATCCTACAACTATTTTGGTCATTGGTGTTCAGTCATCTAATCTATTATTCAGATGGTCGCCAAATTCAGATGGGATATAATCAAGGTGATATTTTGACTTACGTGGACTTGTTTTAATTTTCTTCAGTTTCAACTTGAACTTGCACATGAGCAATTGATGGTCTATTCCACAGTCAGCTCCTGGCCTTGTTCTGACTGATATTAAGCTTCTCCATCATCTCTTTCCACAGATGTAGTCGATTTGATTCCTGTGTATTCCATCTGTCAGGGTCCATATGTATAGTCACCATTTATGTTGTTGAAAAAAGGTATTTGTAATGCGTAAGTCATTGGACTTCCAAAATTCTATCATGTGGTTTCCAGTGTCATTTCTTTCACCAAGGCCATATTTTCCAACTACCAATGTTTCTTTGTCTTCAGCTTTCAATTCTGATAATCAGTAATTATCAATATATCTTGATTGCATGTTTGGTCAATTTCAGACTGCAGAAGTTCATCAAAATCTTTAATTTCCTCATCTTTGGCTTTAGTGGTTGGTGCATAAATTTGAATAATAATAATATTAACTGATCTTCCTTATGTTGTTGTTGTTGTTATGTGCCATCGAGTCAGACCCGACTCATAGTGACCCCCTCCTTGGGTTTCCGAGGCAGTATCACTACGGAAGTAGATTGTCTGTCCCATCTTCCTTCCAAGGTCTTCCTTATAGGCATATGGATATTATCCTATCACTAATAGCACTGTACTGTAGGATAGATCTTGAAATGTTCTTTTTGACATTGGATGCAGTACCATTCCTCTTCAATTTGTCATTCCCAGCATAGTAGTCCATGTGATTGTCTGATTCAAAATGGCCAATACCAGTCCATTTCCGCTCACTAAAAAAACTAAACTCACTGCTATCTAGTCAATTCCGACTGATAGAAACCCCCATTGGGTTTCCTAGGCTGTAAATCTTTATGGAAGTAGAGTGTCCCCTCTTCCTTCTGTGGAGTAGCTGGTGGGTTTGAACCACTGTCCTGGTTAGCAGCCAAATGCCTTATCCATATACCACCAAAGCTCCTTTTTCAGCTCACTAATGCTGAGGATATTGATCTTTATCTGTTCCATTTCATTTTTTACAACTTCCAATATTCCTAGATTCATACTTTGCACATTCCACAATCTGATTATTAATGAATGTTTGCAGCTGTGTCTTCTCATTTTGAGTCATGTCACATCAGTGAATGAAGGTCCTGAAAGCTTTACTCCACCCACATCATTAAGGTCAACTCTACTTGGAGGAGGCAGCTCTTCCCCAGTTGTATTTTGAATACTTTTCAACCTGAGGGACTCATCTACCAGCATTATATCAGTGTTTCACTGCTATTTGTAAGGTTTTCAGTGGCCAACTTTTTCAGAGGTAGCTGGCCCCATCCTCTTCCTAATTGGTCTTAGTCTGTAAGTTCCTCTGAAACCTGTCCACCATGAGTAACTCTGCTGGTATTTGAAATACTGATGACATAGCTTCCAGCATTAGAGCAACATGCAAGACACCACAGTAGGACAAACTGACAGACAAGTAGTAGTTTCTGCTAATAGTAACTTATCTTTTCCTGGGAAAACAGTTATGTAGTATATATTTGTATTTTCTGCTTATGTGTGTGTGTGTATGTGTTTCCTGGTTGGTTGTTTTTGTTTTATGGCAGGTGTTGAGACCTAGTCTTATCTACTGTACAGAGAGTGTGAAATCCTAGGCCTTGAAAGTCAGGCCTTTTGCTTTACCTTTCTACCAAATTATTTGGTGGATGTAAGAGAATGGTATTCACCTTCCAGAAATATTAGAATTTATATCATTAAGAAACTAAACATAGGCCAAAATATCCCACAAAGAAAACAGTCCTGACATCCCTTCATGTACTCCATTGGTTACCATTGAAATTGTCTGGGCTTTCATTCTTTTTACCTGTAGATATCATGGCTGCCTTTAGAAGAACATGAGACCTGTGAGGTTTACTGCATAAAGCCTCATGGGCAACAGGTTGTTTACTGGATACAGAGTCCCTTAGGCTGTGAACCTGAATGCTAGACTTAGAGAAAACATCAGTGAGACTACTGTCTTCCTTTCCCTCCTCTTTATCCTTGTTCTTCTTCTGTTTTCCTCGATCCTGACAGTACTGCCACTTTATATTTTCAAACTGGAACATGATAATGTTGCTCTCCGTATTGATCACCATCCTGCAACCAAAATGAAAGATTGTTCACAAAAGGAATGTGGAGGCCACCACTGTCCAGCCTCCAAAATATACATTTTAATTACTGTTTCATTCCATCCTTAGGCTAAGGGAACAGTGTCCAGTTGTGACCACATAAACAGGGCAGGGTAGGGTGTTGGAGGGTCTGAAGTGATGAAATGTGACAGTGTCACAGCAGGAGTGGTTAGCTTTGTAGATATTTTCATTATAATTACATGTGGAAAGGGCCTATTTACTCTAGTTGCATTGCTTCTCAAGTTAAAATATTTTTAAATGCATGTTAGTTCCTGGAGAGAGTGTCAATTATCTAGGGTACCCACGGCAGAAAGCTTAAGCATCTGGCACATAATAATTAGTTGTCATGGGAGCAAAATAGTGGAACAAAAACTCAAATTCTTTTTTAAAAATCCAGACTTACTGGACTGGTTGAAACTAGAGGATTCTCTGAGACTCTTACCCTGAAATACTTTCAGTCTTGGATGGAAATTAACCCTTGAGATCACCTTTTAGCTAAGTAACAGATTGGCTCACAAAATTAAAAAAAAAAATAAATCAGCCATGAGTAAGTACAGTGCTCCTTAAAAATCATCTATATGAGAACAAATAATCAATAATTACTTTAAAACAAACATTTGAAGATAAGGGGGAAGAGAAACTAGATTAATGGAAATGGAACAACCAGAATGGAAGTTTTAAAAATGTTCATGCATTATGAAAAATGTCAGTGTCAGTGTAACTAATGTCATTGAACAAATTTGTATAGAAATTGTTGAATAGGAACATAAACTGCTATGTAAATATTCACTGACAACACAATAAATATTCTTTAAAAAAAATGCCACTGAGTCCATTGTGACTTATGGTGACCCCATGTGTGTCAGATTAGAACTCTACTCCACAGGACTTTCAATGAATGATTTCTCAGAAGTAGATCACTAGGGCATCTTCCAAGGTGCCTCTGGGTGGATCTGAACCTCCAACCTGTTGACTACCATTTTGTACCACCCAAGGACTCCACCCTGCAAATAGACGTTTTGAAATGTACTGTTTTTAGCACAGCATCCAAACCCAGTGTTTCTATCACTATGACAGGGATGATGTGGAAGCCTTCCCTCCCTCACTGACCCTGCAGCCCACCCTCCTCCAGGGTCTCTGTCCTTACTCTTGGATTAGACAGAACATTTGTATTTTATATAAAACAGGATGATTTCTGTCATCCCTCACCCCTAATTTTATGCTATAGTAGAAAAAGCACTTCTAAACTTGGTCACCCAGCACAGCCTCCCACCATCCACAACATTCATTAAGCAAGCACATTTCCCTTCTGTGTCCAGATCTACTATAACTGTAAACAAGAACTTGGAATAATATGTATAGACTCCATTCTGCTCCAAAAGGCTGCAATTTTAAGACTTTTAATAGCATAATCTTTGTATGAAAGTGACTGTTATGGTTGGAAAATTTGGAATAGAGTTTGGGGAATCATTCCAATAAGAAAACTCTCTCAGACTTATTTTTACTCAAATCAAAAGGTAATCATCTTTCTTATCCTTTAGATGCTGTGAATAATAAAGTATCACAGCTGATTTATTGAGCCTTATTACCTTCTCCCCCTTAAACATAGTAAATAGTATTAACAGAGTTTCATTTAAAGGGAGGCATTATGGTTCAGGGAGATAAAACTGTTTTTCAGGAGTGTCTGTGTTAGAATTTACAAGTTAATTCTATTTGGTTATTTTCACATATATCACCATGAAACTAGCATATAACATGGACAGTGCAATATTCAGTAAGTTCAGTCATGGTATGAACTGGTTTCTGAACACACTTGCTCAGTTCCTTCCCATTGGAACCCTTGCTACTGCCAATCTCTCAGCCCAGCCCCCTTTAAGTCTCTGCATCAGAAGTGGGACACTGGAGACAGGTGATGGAAGTCTCAGGCAGCTGAATGCATGATCAAGGAGCAAGCTGGGACTGCACGTTTATAGAAAACTGCAGTCCTTGAAACAAACAATCCAAAATCAGTTGCCATTAAATCCACTGTGATTCATGGCAACCCCTATGTGTCAGAATAGAACGATGCTCCATAGTGTTTTCATTGGCTGATTTTTCAGAATCAGGCCACCAAGCCTTTCTTCCATGGTAGCTCTGCATGGATTTGAACCACCAGCCTTTTGCTTAGCAGCCAAGCACATTAACATTTGCACCACCAAAGAACACAGCAAACCATTTTGCCCCATTTTATGACCTCCCCCCCCCAAAAAAAATGTGACTTGGCCAAATACTAAGAACAAATTAAGAGTCAGAATGAACTCTGATTGTTTCCTGATTGCTGTTTTGTGCAAAGCCCAATTATTTCCCCATAAAACTATTCCTTCACTACAGCCCAGATCAAAGGGGAGCCCTGCCCACTCTTCCTACTCTCGGCAGATCCACAGCTAGTGTCCCAGAGGAGAAAAAAAAAAAAAAAAAGACACAACCAAAACAGAATTTCTCATGGTTCTGACCTCTACACCTACCACCCACCTGTTTCCCTGAATAAAGAAGGACAGCACTGGGTCACCTCTCCCGTTGGCTTTCATCACCTTCAGGCAGTTCCCGTTTAAGAAATTGTAAATGCGAATCTTGCCATCTGCACAGGCACTTATGACCCGGAGGAAGAGTAGAGACACGTGGAGCACCTCCCTGGAAGGGAACAGAGCAATAGGTAATACCTGTCTTCTGGTAAGCTGCCTGTGTTTGTTTGTAGTTTGGGGTATGTTGTATGTGGCTGGTAGGCAGTATTGGCAACTGAAGTGATGTTTCCCATCATGTGATAATCCTGGATATAAACCATCAGCCTTCAAGATATGGCATGCTAACTCTTCCCATTCCACAGTTATTCTTCTTGGTCATGGTGCCACAAGAAGCAAAGCAAAAAGGCTTTTGTCAGATTGTTTTACTGTCTGAGATATGTATCATCATGATTTTACTTTTGTCATTTGAATCCTGGTTGTTTACTTCTACAAAAGTCATTATAAGAATTATTTAATGCTTCTTTTCCTTTTTAGAAGAGTAATATTATGTAAAGCAGAAATAAAACCAGAGGGAAAATGGTTGCTATTGTATCAAGCAAACACCTGGTATTCAAACATTTTCTTTTTGATCTTAAATTAGCACTTTCCCATTCTTTCAGTCGAAACATCCTTAACGAAAACTGGACCCAGAAAAATTGAATGTATGAGTGTTCTTTTGTGATGACCAGAAGGAAAAGGGAGAAGATAGGAGAATAGGTAGATACCTCAAAAAAATCCTCCCTAAAACAGCTAGGTCCAAGTTGGACTCCAGATATGTAGAGTATTAAAGTCTGAGAAGTATAATTACCCTGTTGCTGGTAATAACACTGAAAAGTTGAATCTGATGCCACTGATATATTAGATCCTATATGCAAAGCAAGTCCATTGATTTTTCCCCATCTCTACTCATTCAAGTCCATCCATGGTGTAAGCTTATATGCCATCTTCTCCATAAAGCCATCTCCCCCACATGCCACCTCATAGAATATACACAGACTTCCAGTATGTTGTCAGATTATCTTGGGAACAACCCATGTCTTATTCATCATTCATCATATAATCCACAATGACTAGCTCATAGCAGTCCCTGTGTAAATACTGGTTGAAAAAGTGACTCATGTTTTCAAAGCATGGTCATTGCTATAGTGTGTAAAAAGAATGTCATCCACTCTATACCATTTCACCTCAGTCTTGGTAATATTCCAGGCCCAGACAGAGACCTTTCAAGGCTGCAACCACCATTAAAACAAACAACAAAGACTCTGGAAGGCAGGAGCCTGCTGGTCAACATGTCCAAAAAACAGTGTGGCTTGAAATCCTCCTTACATCATCCATAAATCCAAAACCAAACTCATTGCTATAGAGTCAATTCTGATTAATTGTGACCCCCATTGGTCCAAAACTGTAAATCTTTACAGAAGCAGTCTGCCTCTTCTTTCTTTTGGGGAGCAGCTGGTGAGTTTGAACCACTGACCTACTGGTTAGCAGCCAAATACCTTAACCACTACAACATGATCCATAAGTAAATGCATAAATCATACTAGCCTGAAAAATGTGTGTAAGAAAGTCCAGCAAAGTCTTACTATTTTTCAAGATGGAAATTTAATAGCTTTGTGGTTCCCCAAGCACATCTTATCTGCCTGTCAGATAATCCAACACTGGGATAAATGCCCTGTGGTAGGAGAAGTTTGCCTCTTTTTGTACTTCTTTTGATCTGCCTGAGTTGGGCTTATATTTCTCGTAGGTTCCTGTGACATTTGGTGGTATAGTTTATATTATTATAGTTTAATGATTAAAAGCACAGGCTTTGGGATCAGAAAAATCCAGGATCAAAACTAGATTCTACCAATTACTGACCTTATAACCTTGCAATATTGAGAGATTCTATGGGAAAAATATTGAATGATGCAGGAAACATCAAGAGAAGATGGCAGGAATACACAGAGTCACTGTACCAAAAAGAACTGATCGACCTTCATCCATTTCAGGAAGTGGCATAAGATCTAGAACCAGTGGTAATGAAGGAAGAAGTCAAAGCCGCAATGAAAGAACTGGCAAAGAACAAGGCTCCGGGAATTGATGGCATACCGATTGAGATATTTCAACAAACAGATGCCCCATTGGAGGCACTCACTCAGTTATGCTAAGAGATTTGGAAGACAGCTACCTGGCCAACTGACTGGAAGAGATCCATATTTGTGCCCATTCCAAAGAAAGGGGATCCCACAGAATGTGGAAATTATAGAACAATATCATTAATATCGCATGCAAGTAAGATCTTACTGAGGATAATTCAGAAACGTTTGCAGCAGTATATTGACAGAGAACTTCCAGAGGTTCAAGCCGGATTCAGAAGAGGATGTGGAACAAGGGATATCATAGCTGTTGTCAGATGGATCTTGGCTCAAGGCAAAGAATACCAGAAAGATGTTTACTTGTGTTTTGTGTTTTATTGATTATGCAAAGGCATTTGATTGTGTGGATCATGACAAATTATGGATAACATTGAGAAGAATGGGAATTCCTGAGCACTTGATTGTACTCATGAGGAATCTGTACCTTGACCAGGAGGCTGTCGTTCGAACAGAACAAGGGGACACTCCATGGTTTAAAATCAAGAAGGGAGTGCGTCAGGGTTGTATTCTTTCTCCACACTTATTCAATCTATATGCTGAGCAAATAATCCGAGAAGCTGGACTATATGAAGAAAAACGTGGTATCAGGATTGGGAGAAGAATCATTAACAACCTGAGATATGCAGATGATACAACTTTGCTTGCTGAAAGTGAGGATGACTTAAGGCACCTACTGATGAAGGTTGAAGAATACAGTCTGCAGTATGGATTATGTCTCAATATAAAGAAAATAAAAATCCTCACAACTGGACCAAGGAGCAGCATCACAATAAATGGAGAGATGATTGAGGTTGTCAAAGAATTTAACGTTGCTTGGTTCTACAATCAATGCCAACAGAAGCAGCAGTCAGGACATTAGATGACGTGTAGCACTGGGAAAGTCAACTGCGAAGGAACTGTTTCAAGTGCTGAGGAGCAAGGATATCTCCTTGAGGACTAAGGTGCACCTGACACAAGCCATGATATTTCCAATCGTCTGGTATGCATGTGAGAGCTGGACAATGAATAAGGAAGACCGAAGAAGAGTTGATACTTTTGAGTTGTGGTGCTGACGAAGAATGCTGAAAGTACCATGGACTGCTAAAAGAACTAACAGATCTGTCCTGGAGGAAGGGCAGCCAGAATGCTCCTTGGAAGCAAGAATGGCCAGACTTCATCTCACCTATTTTAGTCATGTTGTAAGAAGGGACCATTCCCTGGAGAAGGATGTCATGCTTGGTAGGGTGGAGGGTTGACGAAAGAGGGGGAGGCCTTCAATGAGATGGATTGACACGGTGGCTGTGATGATGGGCTCAAGTATAGCAGGGATTGTGGGGCTGGCGCGGGATCGGGCAGTGTTTCGTTCTGCTGTGCATGGGGTCGCTATGAGTCGGAAACGACTTGACGGCACTTAACAACAACAACAACAAACCTTGACTAAGAAACTTAACCTCTCAATCCTCAGTTCCTCCTCTGTAGATAGTAATTTCTGCCTCACATGGTTGCTATAGGCATTAAATTGATGAAAGTATATTTTAAAAATTATCCCAGTACTTTTTACAGTGGTGATTATTATGTTCTTGGCATAGCTCAGTCTCCTTTCAGGCTTTATCTCTGTCTTAGAAATAAATCATTTGTCTCCTTCTGTGTTTCTTCTTCATCCAAAGGCATGCAGAAAGTGACATCAGTGAAAATGGCTGAGTAAGGAACTCCAAAATTCTGCCTCTCCATAAAAAGCAAGAAAAAACCTTGCAAAAACTGTCAGAATCAACTTTTTTTGGACTCTGGAAATTAACCAGACAAATGCTTGCAGTGACCCAGAAAGTACTTATTTAGTAAAAATGGCTGAATCTCAGTAATGACAGGTTTGTGGGAATTTTTTGTTTTGTATTGTTTTTTTTATTACTCATAAGAGAAAATTTTCATAGTTTTATTCTAAGTGTGATGAAAATCTACACAAAGTATGATTAAAATCCACTATTGAAAATTCACTGAAAAATCCATAAGCAGAAAAATACACAGCCCAAAATCAAGACAGATGTTAGATACTAAGGGCATGCAGGGGCTTCAAAAGGCACCCAATCAACCCTTACCCTCAGCTACTGCCTCACACTCCCCCTTTATTTATTTATTTTTATTTTATTTTAAAAGCTTGTTTTACACTCAACATTACATGTACATTTAGTTTCACTCCCTATTTACCGTGTCCAACCCTAACCCAGTCTCCTCCCCTCCCTACTTTGTAACCCTTCCCCTGTCATCAAAGTTTGGAAGTTTTCAGTCATTATTAATTACACTCTTTGACAAACATTAATCCATATATCCCCCTCATATTTATTATGCACTCGTGTTTGTCCCGTATTTCCTCAACCTGAATGTTGGTCCTCTGGTGCCCCGTGGTCCACTGCTCTAAGGAATATATTACCATAGAGTATGTAGGTGCGTCATCGTGGGTTGAGTGGTCTGCCTGTACATCTTGTTAACTATTGGGCTGAGAGCCAGCCCCTGGGGGTGAGTTTTATTCCAGGCACAGAGTGTATTCCAGTGCCATAGTATTGGGGGTCTCATCAGGCTTCCTTTTTAACTGACCCTAGTCTCATTCTTTGCTCTTGCCCACATCCCTGATACTGAAAGGAACACAACAAAGAAATATTTTATCTTTCTGGTGGGTTCCTGGTAGTCTGGCTCAAAAGGTTTGTCTTTATTTCTTTGTCTGAGTAGGAACTCATCTAGTGTTAAAACTGCTACCTAGAAGTCATTTGCTGAAAACATTTACAGGCAAATGCTTTAGTCACTGCTGCCTAAGGCAAAAGATTGGGGCAGAATAATACACTAACCAAAAAGCTTTGGAGGGAAAACTGGGAAATCAAGGATCCATAAAGTTTTTAAAAGCTGAGACATATTCTTTGGACTCTAAATGGTCACATGCCTGTGCAGGACTGTGTATACACTTAGAAGAGACCATAAAGGCCCTAAATTCCCAGCCCTGGCTTAAGGCTTTGTGCAAACAGCAAGT